ACGACACATCCGCGCTGTTTGAAGTTGGCAGAAAACTAATACAAGTGGTAACTGATCAGCAGAAATCACTGACGGTTTCAAGGACAATGAACACTATGGGAACACTTCATAGTGAGAAATTTGAAAATAAAACTCAAGTTTTAGCTCAGTTAAAACTGAGCTTTATTTAGACTTCAGATCGCATCTTGTGGCTGGAGTTGTGTCACACCTAGCTGCCAGGTAGCAGTTTAATAATAGTTACTCTAGGAGTTAACCAACCGAATTATAAGCTTTTAGCTGTCCAAAGAACTAGTGAATAAGTCTGTACCAGGGAAAAAGAACACGCCTCCCTTCCCAGAGTGATAGAAAGTGCCGTTAGCTGGGCATTATGGTATGCACCTGTAATGCCAGCACTCAGGAGGCCAGAGATCCAGGCAAACAGAAGTGTAGTTGGTCTCCAACTCTAGTCAGCACTGACTTGTCAGACTCTCAAGCTGAGATGTCTTTGACAGCAGAAGTTGGTCTACAAGAGAAGTAAGAAGAAAGAAGATGGCTCGGAAGCTGTTCCAGATGGAATTAGAGCTGTGGAGTGAGGGAGAGGCTGGCTCAGGTTTTGGTCTTGAGCACTGAGGGTTTGCATGGTCGGTCCTGGTGGGATCCAGTGACGGTCTTGAGTGGGGTGAGAGGTGCAGAGCAGGTCGGGTAGGTGGAAGTGAACATCCCAGGCCCAATGGTGGACATGACGATGCTGGTAGTGATGGGAGATGACATCTGTCCCTGTTGCACCAGCAGAAGTTCATCTTCATCTCTTCCAGAGTCCAGGAGGCAGTGTTGTCCCATTCATGTTTATCCAACCCTGGGTTTTCCTGTTTGTAATCAATTCTTTGAACAACGCAGACACCCCGTAACCAAGGAAATAAAGCTGTCCAGGCTTGCTGAGCAGTGGGGGGGGGGGTGCCATGCTCTGAGGCTGTCGGTGTCACTCGGTGCGTAGGAGCTGCCGTGGGGCCCGTGGTGGTGGTGTGCACTTCTCATGCTCCCTGACCCGCCACGAGGGTCTGGAAGTCATAGGCTGCAGTTTCTGCTCTGCCTTCTCTCCCGTTTGCCTAGTTCAGTGAGTGTCACACAAAGGTGTCGCATAAACTCTTGCACTGAATAATTACCCGTAACTTGGAAGGGAAGCAACTGTCATTGTTTTCCAGAAAAGTACAAGCCCTGGTTCGTGTGTGAGTATGCGCGGACATGTGCCTTTACCTGTGTCTGTAGGCTCAGAGACATGGGACCTGTCATCCCATCTTGCTAGCTAATGACCTCATCTTTTTTTCTGTCCAGTAGCCACCCCTAAAAGTAAATATTGCCTTGTCTCTTAAGCATCTGGTGTTTTCACCAAAATGGAACCCAGTATGAAATAGAAGTGTCTACTGTTAGCACTCAGTGAAGACTGGCTTGTCACAGTTGTCAACGTGCTCATTCGTGTGATCACTGGACCCGTTCTGGCCGTCTGCTCTGAGTTGGATGAGGGGCTGGGCACTGACAGCCCCTCATGTGTCCAGGGCCCGTGAGGGCCAGGAGCTGCTATGGGGACGCACACCAGCTGCTGGGAGCCCAGAGCCTGGAGTGTGTCTGTCCCACATGGCACCTGCGGCTGCAGGACAACTATGGGCATCGTGTGGGGACAGGGAACAGTTAAAGGGCTGGGTGACACATTGGATCTTGCTGAATCTCTGGAACCTTATGACACTGAGCCCTTCTTATTCAGAGATGAAATTTGTGTCAAAAATAGGCCTAGAAGCAGGACTTACTCAGAATCACAGTGATATAATCGACTTATTATTTTATGATTGCAGAAATGCCCATGCTTGATGGGTGAGAAGACTGCCCTTCTGTTTATTTAGAAAGAAAGCATTTATCTGACATGAAAGGCGCAGCGGAGTGAGAACTTGACCTGCTTACATTCACTTTATAGTCAGACTGTTGATTAGTCTGCCCATAAATTCCATCAGAAGAGACGTCTGAAGTTTCTAAGGGAAAAAATGTGAAAGCTACGAGTCCCTTCGGAGTGTGCTTTTATGTGAAGCTGAACCGCCCTGTGTGCTGTCACCAAAACGACTCCCAAACGCACGTGGAATCTGCCACAGAGTTGTGGGACTATTAGACACTTTTATTTCTGCCCCATAAAAATATTTCAAAACCTGTGGGAGTTTTAAGAAACTGGTGCTCGTCAATCTCTATCCTTCCCAATTTAGGGGCCCAGGAGACGCATCCCAAAGCGATTAGAGATGTTACATTTGGAGAAAATGTCACATGGGGCATGCTTCATTACCCGTGAGTGACAGGTTGTTTAAAGCCTGATCTTCCCCAAAATCTTTATGTATTTGTGGGCCCACAAGCATGTGTGTGCTAGAATAAAAGAAGTTACCTGTAACGGTAACGATCCACCACTAAACCATGCTTCAAGTATAATAGTTAATTTTAAGATCCCCGCTTCCCAGCAATGCCTGTTGGTGTCTCGTCTTCCTCCTCTGCGTTTCCTCGTAGGATGGGTGGTTTAAGCTCTGAGTAGACTCTGTACACTCAGATGCTCTTATCACCTTCTCTGTCCAGATAAAAAATCCACAAATACATTCCTTTTTTTTCTTGGCTCCTCAATGTCCTGTGCAGCAGGACCCCTGCCCCCCAACCTCAGAACCAACCTGTCTCAGGTCTCAAGTGCAGGAATCGCCTTCAGAGCCTGGGCAGGGAGGGAAGCCCAGCCCTGGAAGTGTCACCAAGGACAAAGTCTGGGGAGAAGGTAGGACAGGAAGGAGTAGAACATGCAAGGGGCACAGGTCCGTCCCTCAAATCTGACTTCTGTAAAAAGGACTCTAAGTAGTTGTGTCAAGACCCAAGTCAACAGAAGTTAGTTGTGTGTACACGTGTGTCCGTGTGCACGCATGTGTGTGTGTACATGTCTGATGGTTAAAAACATGAACAAAACTAAGCACTTAGAGCACACGTGTGTTTCCAGCACAGAGCCCCAGGAGACCTGGACAGTCTGCCTGCTCACCGTCTGTCGGAGCTCAGGGATGCTCAGCTCTTCCTAAAAAGGTGCCATGAGGTGGAAGGCAGGACTGTGAGGCATGCCAGCGGGGCACCTATGTCATGGCCTCAACCCCTTTTCCCCCACCCTGCCCTCCATTGCTCGGTAGCAGTATGTATATTTTGGATCAGTTTGCCCTTATGTCGTTGAGGGAAATTCTCACCCTCTTGTCATGCCCTGTATCCCCGCCATTCACTCCTGCCTGTTTCTCAAAGAGCGATGGACTCTGCTTAAAAAGGAAGCCACAAGCCGGGCACCAGTGCTCACGCCTGTAATCCTAGCTACTCAGGAGGCAGAGATCAGGAGGATTGTGGTTCGAAGCCAGCCCAGGCAAATAGTTCCTGAGACTCTATCTCAAAAAAAAAAAACCCATCACATAAAAGAGGGCTTAGAGTGGCTCAAGGTGTAGGTCCTGAGTTCAAACCCCAGTACTGCAACCAAAAAAAAGAAAAAGTCACGTGTAGGGAGGAATGAATGCAGGCCTGGCTCTTCCCAGCACAGGGTGCACCCCAGGGGTGCAACAGCTCCCAGTGGTTACCAAGAGTCACCCATCAGGCCTACCTGTGCAGCCAGCGGCGCATTGAGGAGGAAGAACTGCCCATCCTGCTAAGACCCAGTTCACATTCGGTAGAGGAGTTCCCACTCCTTGTTTTCTGTTGTCACTGCCGAGTTGGAAACGTAAAAGGAATCTACAAAAGTCCTCTTTTTCCCTGTGTGTCCTGGAGAGGTCTGGGACTTAATGTTGCCGTGGGCTTTCTCGGGAAATGTCACTTGAGCACAGTCCTGGTGTCTTCCTGGAGCTGAGGGAAGCATGTAGTCATAGCAGACGTTTACTGAGCGTTTTACAGCTACTGTACTGAGGTCTCACACCCCGTTATTCAATGATGTTTTCAACAGCCTCACTGGGTGACTGACACTCGGAAGGCCTTTTTAGGTTAAGTCAGCTGAAGTGTTACAGCCGGCTCAGGGTTGTAGTGCAGGCAGCCAGCAGAGCTGGGTTTGAAGTTTGTGGTCTTGATCAGAGAGAGCCCAGGCTTCCAACCACCGTCCTGCATGCATGAGGGCCAGCCTCCTGCATCGGTGTGGACGCTTAAATAAAACCATCCCCGCCCGCCCCTCTCAAGTCTGTGTCACGCGTGAGCATGGAGTGATCTCTCAGATCCAGTGTGTTGCTTCTGTTCACGTTCATTAAATGGCTTTCGTGGCCGGGCTCCACACGGGGTGTTGAGAAGACGCTGGGGAAAGACAGCCGAGCACCTGCTGTTCACGGGCTAAGCCAGAGGAGGATCGGACCTCGACCTCACAGCCTCTCACCTAGCTGCACAGTCGTGCTCCAGTTAAGGATGGACTGTGTTCCGAGCAGAGCGTTGTTGACCAGCATCACAGAGCGACACCTTACACAGACCTGGACAGTACGGGGGTCTCCTGATGCAATCTAGGAATGCAGGAAACACAAGATGCCGGAGAGGCTGCTGCCGGTGTGACACGCACACCCTTCTGCAGCAAACTCACTTCTTCACTAAATAGAGGTATTCTTCCTCTTTCTGTCCCTACGACCTCTGATCCATGACCTCATAGACTGTGCTGGCTCCGTACGATGGTAACGGAGCTGAAAAATCCCATTGCCTGGTGACATCGTAGCTGTCACCCTGTCCTAGTGCAATGTGTCCCTTGCCTGTTGGTGGCAAGGCTGGTGTGAGCACACCTGCCAGTCATACAAAATGCAACACAAACCCTCATGTACAGTGTGTAACACTCACGTGACTGTAAACAGCTGTGGCACTGGTTTATGTATTTGTTATACTGAGCCTTTTATCCTAGATGACTAAAGACACTAGACAAACATGGAAGCAGTGTGAAGGCAGAGCAGCAGGGTTTCCATGTGGAGAGGTGAGGAAGTGTACGTGTTAGGCATTGCTCAACTCATTGCTGTCTTCCTCAGGAGCCATGGAGCACACAGCACATCCCCGCGCTCTTCTCAGCCTTCTGTGGTCTCTTAGTAGCACTGTCCTATCACCTGAGCCGGCAGAGCAGTGACCCGTCCGTGCTCCTGTGAGTAACTGTGCCTTGCTCCCTCTTGTCCCTGCTGTGGGGGCCATCCCTGCAGCCCTGGCTGCTATCTGAAGCAGGAGACACCTGTTCAGCATCCATTGCCCTTTCACACTTGCTGAACAAGCTGGCTGTTCACTGGATGAGGGTGGGAGAAAGGGCGGGTGCCCAGAAACGAGTGAAACTCAAGGGAGAGCTTCCAGTCACACCCCACCTCTGCGCTCTGTTTTTGGACAGAAATGCAGAGTGGCAGGAACAGATGGCCGGCAGCGACCAAGCCCTAGGTGGCCTCCCTCACTCAGGTGCATGGAAGGCACAGCTGGGAATGTCCTTGTTGGCTGCACCAAGCCCCATTGTGGCCACCCTGGGGAGACTAGCCTCTGAAAGGAGGTTTTAATTTTTATTTTGAAAGGAGGTTTTTAAAGTTTTTGTTCCCAACAAGGTCAGGGCCCTTTGGCTTTAAAATGAGTCTTGTGTCAGCCCTCATGTGATATCACAGTGAGTGTCAGATGTTCATGGTAGCATCTTGTACAATTTGTCCAAACTTACAAAAGCTTTTGACTTAAGCTCCCTCTGGGTGGGGGCTGCAGCACCACAACCATGGGCTGTGGGGTGAAATCAGATGAAAACTGTGGAAAATGAGGGAAAGAAGAGATAAACGTGGTTTGCATGATTTTTCGTGACAAATGTATGGCTGGAAGGTTGACTTCTGCCAGCACTGTGTGAGGATGGAGCCCAAGGGCTGGCAGAAATGGAAGAGCCTGACAGTGCTTGGCCACTGTCATTAGGGTGAAATTTAAAAATCTAAACCTTGCCCCTCTCTTTTTGTTACTAGCTCCCTGGGGAAAGTGCACTTGCTCTCACTGTGATGGGCAGCTGGGAGGACTTGGAAGCTGCCAACCTCACACACCGGCCTAGGCACGTACTTTGCAAAGTAAACCCTGTGTGTTTTCCACTCCTAGGTCCTTTATCCAAAACGGATGGCTCCCTAAGTTTTTACATCAAAACCTGGAAGAGTCGGCTGCAGACCCTCTGCCTCAGAAGATGAAGGACTCAGTGGTGAGACATTTGTGCTGTGTAGCCTGTTATGAGGTCTCTCTGGTGGACAGGGCTGGCTGTGGCTCTCCTGCTCCAGCCAGCTAGGTGGCATGAGGAGGGTGGGCAGGTAGGGGCACCCAGTCCAGGTCCAGACCTGACTCCTGGGACCGCTGAGCTTTCTGCCCATGGTGGACCCCTAAGCTCCCTGCAGAAAGATGCTGTACACAGGCCTCAGGGGTCCGTCAGTCCTCAGTGGTGGCAGCTTGCCTGTACATTCTCATGGTTCCATGTCCAGTGCCTGCCCATGGCTGGCACTAAGCAGCAGGTAGGCTCTGTGCAAACCGAAGCTCCTTGCATAAATGTGCAGCCCACCTGAGTTCCAGACCTGCTCCATGCACAGCTCCTTCACCTCCCTTAGCCTCGCCCTGAGCTCTAAGCTCTTTCCAGGGTCTCCTGACTCAGCATTGACATCCGCCCAGCCCTGGCTACCAGCCTTTGGGCTATGGTGGCACAGACACGGGGACAATAGTGAATGGAACACATCCTGGGTGGAAGAGAAAGGAGGATGAGAAGGAAGGCAGGAGAGAATCCAGGCTGTTAAATATGGAAACCAGGAAAATGGCCCTGGGGCAGTCTCAGACATCCTTTGCGCAGAAGTGGTGTCTTTGGGATCAGCTGCCATTACTACTTTGGAAAGCGGTGCTCCCTGGTTTCATGAGCTCCCTTACATTGGAGGATTGAGCACAGAAGAGTCCAATGGCTTCCTCGTGTGCTTCTCCTGTGTGTCTCACGAATGGCTAAGAAAGAGAAAAGCTGTCAGTGGTCTGTGGACTGCGATTTCCTGCAGCCGGGAATATGTCGCATGTTTCTGGACATCCACAGGCCAGACCCCAATGCCAGTAGCTGCTCAGTGCACTGCCATGAATTTAGGTGAGCTAGATTACAGTCTGTCAACAGAACGACAGGTCTCACAGCCAACGAGGGCATGTTGTAAAAAGCATGTACTTACGCCCGTTGGGGCGTGGTCACAACTCAGGCTAAAGCGCTCAGGCTTTTTGTCACCACAGGGCACTTAGGGACCCACCACTTGATATGAGGCAGGGTGAGGTTCCTGAGTTTTAAGGGCAGAGACAATTAAAAGCTGGGCAGAGAGGAAGTCGCTAGGGGGATGAGATGGCCGCTGGGGAAGAAAGACATTGACAGTTGACATCCAAGTGGCATCTCTAGTCTGCCGGTTGACATTTGTACCAGGAGACTTCTGGGGGAAGATCAGGCCGAACTTGCAGATCCATCTTTGGAAGGCCTAGTGTGGACCCCATTCTCCCCAAAAGTCCCCCTGTGGATATCTGAGAAAGGCTATGTCCCCTGTGCCTTCCTAGAATTCACCACTAATGACTATAGCTCTCCATTTTCTGATTTAGTGCAGTTAAAAATAAAAAATGAATCCCAGAGAAATGTGTCCAGAAGATGCTGACAGCGTTTTGTTAGCATAATTAGGCGTGGCGGGTTAGCTTCTGCCTTGCTGGCTCCATAGCCTTTGAAACACGTTGCACAATGCAGAGCACAGCTTGCTAGGTGATTTAATGTGATGTTTGTGCTTGCTTCTCTGAAAAGTCTCTGGTCTAATTATCATATTTTAATGGGAGTATCAGATTCAGCTTTTATAGGTTGATGTGTAACAGCTTTTGTGTCTTGTGCCAGCTCTCTCTCTCTCTCTCCCCCTTCCTCTCCCATTTTGCCAGTGCAGGGACCCGGGGGATCTGCATTTTAATTAGGATGTCCATCAGGCAGGTTTTCCAGTCTGTGTGTGAAGAAATGTGTGTCTAGAGAGAGATGCACACTGGGTGTGCACATTTTCACTCTGCAAGATGGGGTGCACAGGGAGCTCACTACCAAAATGTCATAGTCACTAAAAACACAGACTTCACTAGGGGGTTGCCTGACAATCTTTTTTCTTTTTGGCAGTGCTGGGGTTTGAACTCAGGGCCTCGTACTTGCTAGGCAGTTGTTCTACATCTTGAATCATGCCCCATCCCTTTTTTTGACTTTACTTATTTTTCAGGTAGGGTCTGGCATATTTGCCCAGACCGCTGTCTTCCTTCCTCGCATAGCTAGATCACAGCTCTGTGCCACCATGCCTAGCTTGCTGGTGGAGATGGGGGTCTCGCTAGCTTTTGGCGCAGGCTAGTTTTGAGCTGTGATCCTCCTGGATCTCTATCTACCACATAGCTGTGACTATAGGCTTGAGCCACAGGGTCTGGTCAAAACCTCCTATTTTTATGTGTAAAATTCAAATAGCTTCCTCTAGGCAGTTGTCGTGTGCGGTCCACGTGTGCTGGGTGTGGAGCTTCTTTTCAGGGGAGGAGCATGGAGTGCTCCCAGCTGTGCCACAGTGAATTTTAAATGCTTACCCTAAGCCAGGTGTGGTGTGCTCCTGTGATCCCAGCACTGGGGGGTGGGGGCAGAGGAGGAGGATTGCAAGTCTGAAGCCAGCCTGGGTGAAGCCAGCAGTGAGACCCTTGCTCAAAAACAAGAGTTTACTGTACTAAAAGTGAATATATTTCTTGGCTAAACATGCATGCGCTTCCCCTTAGAAAACAGAGAGCAAAACACTAATATCACCAGGTGCTATTTTAGAGGTTCTGGCCAGTATAACGTCCAAAAGAGGGAGATGAGGTTATTATATAGAGAGAATGCACAGAAAAGCTTACTAAACCAGCTGTGATTAATAAGAGGATTCACAAATAGTACCAGAGAAAAGAAAATTTGGAGAAGGAAGAGTGTTTTAACATACCAGAACTAACCTCAGAAAATATAATGAAAACACGATCCAACTACAACAGCAACAAAATACGTGAATTGATAAGGGGGTGGATTTTAATGAGCAGAGACACAAATAAAGGAAAGGACAACTGTGTTAAAATGCAAACGAAGTTCCCAGTTAGTGGTGACCAACAGACCTGACCTGACTTCGGACAGGAGGACTGAGATTTTTCAAATGCCATTCCTTTTAAAATAAATTTCTAGGTTTAATAAAGTTCAAAACACTTACAAAAGATTTATATTCACAGCTTTGGCAAGTGATTCTAAAGTTTATTTAGAAGAATAGCACTTAATGGTTTGTAAATAAAAAAAAACTTGAAAGAGAAGAATGAGAAAAAGAAGTTAGCACTTTGAAGTTTAAGAGTATATTCTAAAGACTGACTGGTGAGAACAAAGTATGAGAACCATCTAAGATTAGGGTGGAATTAGTGCATTGAAGAAACACAGCAAGGAGACAAATTACTTATGAGACTGCAGTGTGTGGAAATTAGTGTCACAATCAAGGACTGGTTATTCAATGTGCAGTGGTTAGCAGAGAAGAAAGAATTTTATGTGCTAATCCCTTACCACACAGTGGTGTAAACCAGAGAGCATTAAAGAGTTTCTGCAAAAAGGAGAGGGAGAGAAAGGGAGGATAGGGAGGGAGGGAAAGAGGGAGGGGAGAGAGGGAGAGAGAGGAAGAGGAAGAGAGGAGGAGGAATTCCTCTTTCCGTATGATGGCAGATAATTTATCCTAACAAGACTTTGCAAAGTAAAAGCAAAAATTCAGAATAAAATACACACACACACAATCCTTCTTAAATGTAACAAAAAGCTAACAGAATAGTAAGGAGCTTTCAGATAAGAATTTGACAGATAAGAAACAGGCAGGAAGCTTTTTGTCCCCAGAGATCTGCCCAGGAATGCCCTGTGGGGGCTGGAGCCTTGGTTTTCAGCCTTCACACTGTGGAGAGCAGAAATCAAAGTCTGGGGCTGCCAAGATGAGGTGTCTGAGGGATGACCACCACCATCAGGCTGGGACAGTAAAGAGCCACAACTCTCAGAGTCCATCGTCCTCCCTGCGGGGACATGCAAAAAACCTCACCTCCACAGTGAGCACAAGAGGAGTGTCCTGGGAGCTTGTAACTTTGCACAGATTTGTAGCATTGAAACCAGTTTTGGACCCAAGGCCCAAACTTGGGTCCATATGCCTGGTGCAGCCACCCGCCCCTAAACACCAAATAAAGAGGCCTGGTGAAGGCAGAGAAAGGAGGTTTATTACGAGACTCAGGACACAGCGTGGGAGGACGCAGAGAAGGCACTCAGCTCACCTTCAGCCATCTTCAGGTGCAGACACGAGCTATAGGTTTAAGTAGACAAAAGAACTGGGGACGGGGACAAAGGCGCGCATAGTTAAGCAGTCCCACTCACAGGGTGGTCTGGTTGGTTTCATGACTGGTGGGGCTGGCAGTTTTGGTCAGGCAGGTGGTCTGCTCCAGTTTTGCCAAGTTATCACCTGGAAGGAGTAATCTGGTTCCTGTTTGGGAGGATTTTTGAGATAATTGTCCTCACTGGGAGGGTGGCAGCTCCATGTGGCTCTAGTTCATTGTCATACAGATATCAAATCTGTCCTTTCTTCCAAGGTGATTGTAAAGTGGAATTAAGAGAATGGCTTAGAGCAAAGACAGATACAAAATGGAGGCAGGGATGCCTCGCTTTTCCTGTTTTTAGTTAATTTGTGGACCTAAATAAGGAGACATTGCTTTTCAGCAAAAGCAGATTGAGCGCTTCTTACAGCACAAACTCTAAGGACTGGGTGGCACAAACCCCTCAGTTCATGAATTTCAAGTGGCCCTGACTAGAAATGCCCCATGGCAGAAGCAGACTGCATTCCTCTTATGGAGGGCTCTGCCTCTCTGAGGCTACAGGGATTTCGAAAAACAATTTTCTAAGGAACACAAGAAGCTTATAGTAAAAAATCAAACTATGCAAGGGAACAAGGAACCAGCAGAAGGAGGTTTGAGAATGCGTCAGATGTTGGAAGACCAGACACAGATTTTAAAATAATTGCACTTACTGTGTTTAAAGAAGTAAAGGCATGCTTTAAAATTTACAGATAATAGAAGATATTTGGGATGACCCAGGCATGTTTAAAACAGAGACAAACAGAACTTGCTAAGTGAACAAACAAATAAAGCAACTGAATTAAAAAAAAAAAAAATCGTCTCCCCCACGTCAGGGGAGATTAGACAGCTCTAAAGAGAGAATTAGCAACCAGAAGTATAACCATGAGAGAAAGAACAGACAAATTAGAGCAAGAATCTGGTGAGATAATACCTGAAACTTACCAGGACTGATGGAGTCTCTGATGTCGACACTCAGGGACCCACTGAGTCAGAAACAGGGTAAATTTAATAACACCAGACAAGTCACAGTGAGATGGTTGACTGCCGAGATCACGGACCATCTTAACACAGTAAATAAACAGGCTCATTCAAAGGAATGACAGGCCAAAAGCTGTCTTGCTTTTGTAATGAAAGTAACTGCCAGGCTAGAATTCTATACCCAGTGAAATATCTTTCAAGGAGGAGGGCAGGAATAAAACAATGAATATAGGATTTTTAAACCTGTTGAAATCACCATCAGAAGGGGACTAAGGTAGAAAAAGAAAAACAGAGGAAATGAACCAATTCAGGTTCTAATACATATATACATGGAAATGTCACAAGGAAACTCCCTGTGTAGCTATCTTAATCAAACAAAAATGCCTTCTGTCAAAAGTAGAGAATAGGAAGGTAAAACAGGTCCTGTCTGGGAGGGAAGAGGACATAAAGAAAGGGGTAGGAAGGTGAATGTGGTGGAAATATTGTGTACTCATGTATGAAAATGGAAAAATGAGACCTGCTGAAACTCTTCCAGGGAAGGGGGCAAGGGAGGATAAAGGAGAATGATGGAGGGGTGAATTCAGCTAAGATACATTGTAGAATTTTTGTAAATGTCACAACATAACCCCCAGTTCAACAATAGTAATTTCTTTTAAAAGAAAGGATGAGGGTAAAATAAAAATATTTTAGACAAACACAAGCTGAGAGACCCTCTCTAAATGGATGCTGAAGGGTATCTGTCAAGAGGAAAGTGTCTTGGTGGAAGGAGGCATATCTTTTGTATAATTTTCTGTTAGATAACATCCCAAACAATTAATGAAAAAGCATGACTCCTTTTCAATATAAGAAAGGGAGGTATAACTTATTGATGGCTTCAGAACTTTTGGGAAACAGTGCAATAACTTTGAATAATTGTGGATGATCACTCATCTGTCTCTAGAGAAAGAAGTGAATGGGTGACCCTGATGTCCTCTTTGATCCACCCATCAGCCATACTGTGTCCCCTGAGGCTCCCAGGCCACTTTCCATGCATCTGTGTCAGTGGCGTTCTTTGGTCCATCTTTGCTTTCTTCCCCTACCTCCTGCTCAGAGGCCACGGTGTTGTGTGATGGAAACCACTGACAAGTCACTGCAAATCATGTGTGTACACATTGCACACATGTTTAAGTAACTCGGAAGCCTTTTCTCAGTCTAAGTGTATTGTGCTCGGTGCACCCAGGCTGTGGGCCACCCCAAGGCCAAGTAGAGCTGTTAGCACCTGGCCCTCCTTTGCCGGGCCTTGGTAGGTTAGGGTCCCTTTAGGGAGCTCTTTGGGGGCCTTGCACCCCTTCTGTGTTTGTGCAAGAGAACCTTGTGTCTCCTGCATGGGTAGAAACCTGTCTTTTTTCCACGGTCACCATGTGCACACTAACTTCTCAGAGCTCCTTTCCTTTCCCCATGGTCTGCCTCAGTGTCCCCAAACATCCACCCCCACAGGAGCTAGTGAACAAGCTGGTGGAGGTCCATCTGGGGCGCACCTGGGGACGTCAGGCAGTTGTGGACTAGTTCGAGGGTCAGCATCCCTCCATCGGATTCACCCGCAGAGAGAAACCAGGAAGGTCAGCCTCACGGTGGTCTCCTCTTTCCAGAAGGACATGCTGAGGTCAGACCTCGTCATCTGCTTGGTGGCCGCCGTCCTCTCCTTTGCAGTCAGCGCGAGTACCGTATTCCTGTCCTTACGAGTAGGTGTCCTCTCTGTGTACACTGTGTCTCTCCCTCCTTGTTCTCTTACTGGCTGGGCTGGAGGGGGTTTGAGGGCACTGAGCAGACAGACAAGCCCCAGGCAGGGGACAGAAGGCCAGGCAGGAGACGGAGGACTGAGGCCACAGGTGTGGAGAGTGGCGTCAGGAGACTTGGTCCCAGTCTTCCCCAGCTAGAGGTGCTTTGTCTGCAAGAGTGGTGGCATGAAATCCATCGTGAGACAGTGGGGTGGAGGGGGCCTGGCCACCACTCCCCTCCATGAGCAGAGAGGAGAGAAGATGCCACATCAAAGGTGACACAGGAGTCACAGAGCCAAAAGGCTGGGAACACCATGTTTGGTGAAAACAGCAGAGTTGGCACCCAGGTGGCTTCTGGCCTCGATTCTTACAGAGGTGTGGGACTCTTAGGATGCTCCCTCCAGCAAGGAGAAGCCACTAGCTACATGTTATTCCCCCATGCACCTATGAGAAACCTGAAGATGTGGCCAAGGGCAGGGTCCCCTGGCCTGTCTTCTGCTGGCCGGTTCCCCCGGGTTCTTCATAACCCTCAGTACCATGGTATACAAGAGCAAATGGACTGACCGTCCATCTCTCTCTCTCTCTCTCTCAATCTGAGGTACTGGATTTGAACTCAGGACCTGGAGGTTGCTAGCCAGGCGCTCTACCACTTGAACCACACTCCTGGCCTCTTGTCTCTTCTTTAAGAGGGATCTGAGGGACCATGGCATGTGTAGCATTCAGGAGTGCCCTCCCCAGCCTCCCCTCCCTGGCCTTCCCTCCCCAGCCTCCTTTTCCAACCTCTAGGATTCATAATGAGAGTTTGCCCTTTTCCTCTCAGCCCTTCCTCAGCATTGTGCTGTGCGTCCTGGCAGGCACCGTGGGACTGGTCACCCACCACCTGCTGCCTCAACTCCGCAAGCACCACCCCTGGATGTGGGTGTCTCACCCTGTCCTGCGGAGCAGGGGGAACCAGCAGCAGCAGGAAGCAGCAGGTCAGTGCTGCAGGCCTGGAGGAGAGGGGAGGGAGAGGGAGACGAGGGGAAGGGAGGGACAGGGAGGGGAGGGGAGGAGAGGGAGAGGGAGGGGAGGGGAGGAGAAGGCACAGCAGGACACATTCACTTAACCCCTGCACTTCTTCAAAGTGACCACCCCTGTATGTTGCGCGATTTCCCCTCAGCACAGAAAGGCGAGTGTGTGCCGCTGAGTCTAGAATATTTATTCTTCCAGACACACTCGCCAGTCAGAGCAAGAAAGTTGAAGTGGGATGAGTCGGATGCATGTCTTATAAAAATACTTCCTGGTTATTGGTATTGCAGAGAAATCAATTTATGTCATTTGGACTTGATCATGCTTGACAAGACGATGGGCCTGCCGTTAAGTGTCAGGCCCTGGACCCCTGGGTTCCCCTAGCTTGCTTAGACGATTGACTTAGTTGCTCCCATGGGGTGGCAGCCTGGTTACCCTGCCGACTTGTGAGCCTTGGATGAGGAATGGCTTTTTCCAGATAAGACGTCTCTTGGGGACTTCCCTGCCAGGTCTCCTCTACTCTGCTGTGAATAGATGGAGGTCACTCCCATTTGCAGATCCCCCAGTCGATGCGCACAGGTCATGGCTACACTGCTGCTCTGCACGGAGCTATCAGCTGTTCTACCTTCTCCATTGTGACGTGACTTCTCCAGTTGTCCACATGCAGGCACCAGGTCTGTGATGGCATCGAGGTTACCAACTCAAGAAAGGTGCTGCTCTCAGCCAGGGTTGTCACCAGCAGCTCCAGTATACTAAGGTGACAGAAGGGAAAATAAAAAAATGGAAGGTGTTGCGGGAAACAGCGAAGGGAACAAAGTCACTGAGACCATTTTTACAGGAAGCAGGGAGTTTGTTACGCTAACGGGACTAAGGGAGGTAATTTCTCAAAGCCTGAGTCCCCGATCTAATACTTACAGAGTTTGTCCCATACCCTGCTACAGAATGCGGTCACAGTTACAGGAGACACGGCAGTGCTAGCTGGAGCCTTGTAACTTTGCACAGCTAGCAGAAAGCTGCCTGTAGACTCAGAGTGGGGAAACCAAGGCGAATACCAGATATAGTAAATCCCAGGAAAATAGCCAAGATGGCTTCAGCAAAGGTACAAAAAAGGGACTTGACACGTGGTCCAGAATGCAGAATGGAAATCCTGACTCTAGGGGACAGCTCCAGTGGGTATGGGAGCCTGTGTTCTCACAATCAGACCACATGGAGACCCTGTGGATGGCTGGGTGAAGAAATGTGGCCGCTAAGCCGGCTGGCAGCAGGCTGAAGAAATAAGCAAATCTGTTTTGCTGCATTCTAGTTCCAGACCAATGGCTTTGTTGGTTACCCCTGCTGTAAAAGAGTTACACAGTTGAATTTCTTTGAAGGTTTGTTTTATCTAAGAATTTGCAAAGGAAATACATTTTCACATGGCCCTCCAAGGTAAATTCCTGTAACGTGACAATAATTAGTTTTTAAGAACCAAAGTGATCTGACTTGATGCTCTTAACAAAAACAGTGGATTGAGTCACAAGAGAGAGATGGAGAACGAGCACATTTTTGGAGTTCACTTGTTTACTTGTTTATTCGCTCCCAAAATGCTTAGGAATATCTTGTCTATTCATTAGTCAATTAGTCAAAACTAATTACTGAGTTTCCACGTGACACCAAGCCCTGGGAATCAGTGACCAGGAGCCATCCACACTGGCTTCCTGTGCTCAGCTCTGCAGGGGACCGAGAGGCAGTGGCTTGGGCTCAGGTGAGCACTTACCCTGGACTCCACATTTCATTGACTAAGCCTTTCCATGCGGTTGGATAAGTACCCAAACTGGAAAACATGCAAAATTATGTGATTAAATGTTGAATGAATGTCTGGTGCACAGTAGGTATTTAGTCAATGTTACTGAGTGAACTGGATTCGTGATTGGTGCTTTGGAAATTCTCTGAGGCAGGGGTTTCCTTAGGCTGAGGTGGGCAGGAGATCCCCTGTGCGTGGAGAAGGGGCCCAAGGACCCGCACACACCTGTCTGTGAGCGGCGTTCATGACTTGGCTGCTTGCTGAAAGGCTTAAGCTATAATTTGGGGATGCAGTGGAATAAATGAGTAAAATTGCATAAATTAGAAAATACATCAGTCGAAAATCTCATTTAAATTATCATTTTTAATGAGGCCCAAATTCATAATTCTTTAATGAGACTAACTTTGCAGATGCCTGCTTTCTGTCTGTGAGAGGCATGGCTCTGATTTTTCACTTAGATCAAAGAAATGAGTAGTGTCAGAAACCAAATAGAAAAAGCCATAACGAAAGCAGCAGACCCTGGTAACTCCACCACTTCTGCCTCTGACTCCTTCTCTCCAAGAAAGTCACTTCCTACTTTTTAGATATCAATTCTGATTTATGTAATGCTTCTGGGCAGGTGATCTTCCACACGACCCCTGTTCCCATCCCTGTTATGCCTTAGTTACTTTTGTCAGATAGGACTTCTTTTTTTGTTTCTCCTCTCCCCATACTGTGGGTTTCCGTTCTCCCCTCTTTGTGATTTAAAGGGGCTTTGCTGAGAGAGTAATTGTTTTTAAAAAATAAATGAAGGAAGGAGAAAGAAGAAAGGAAAAAGGCAAATAGCCCTGCAAAAAATATGGACTGACAATATCCTTGAAGTTGGGGAACAGAAAATGAGTTTTCTAAGCATGACCCCAAGGTGAACAGCCCCAAGGAACAAGGGAAGGTCTTATCCCTCAGACATGTGGATCTAACATCCCATTAGCTGATGTGGCTCTTCTCCACCTTTTATCTCCTGGAGAAGTGTACTATGATGTCAAACCTCGTAGTCTTTATTAATTCACTGAAAAATATTCACAGAGTCCCTATCACGTGGCAGGGAGGCATGCCTGCTGAGGGGTTAGAGTGCCCTGGCCAGGAGTCTTCCTGACCTCCTTGCAGACAGGCAATCCCACCAGGGAGGTACCCACTCCTCCCCGATTCTTCTACTAAGCATCCTTTTAAGTCCCTAATAGGCCAGTCTATGGACCAAGCATTCACTGGGTGGCCACTATGGAAGAAGTGTGGTGTCAGGTGTGTCCTTGAAGTCCTGTGGGAGACAAGGACATGGTTACACAGATCAACATACACATGCCATGTTTAAGGTACAAAGAAGGGACACACAGGGGAGTGGGAAGGACAAAGGAGTCCTGACTCCAGTTTGAGGGGAAGGGGTTATCAAACAAGACACTCTCCAATGTGGCCTGAGCCGGGGTCATCCCGCCCATGAGAGGAGACACCTCCAAGAGTGGGAAGAGCCCCAGGTAGCCCTGCATTAACTTCTTTGGAAAAGGAAAGGGCAAGGTCACAGACCTTGAGTTTATCCTAACTAAGCAGAGTTCAAGGGCCCCAAAGTAGGGTGACACGATTTCCTTCCTTCCTGACACTGATTTGGGAAGCAAACCCATTTGTAGAGAATAAACAATGCCAGGCCTGCACCTTAGCACAAAGAACTTGACGGTCTTAGCCTTGGCTGGGCAGGAAAGGTTGGAATGAGAGAAACGCAGAGAGAAGCACTTCCCTCTGGCTAGAGGTCGTCAGCAGCGCTGACGCCCTGACTCTGCTGAACAGCATCCCTGTACCATAGAGGCCTTGGGTGACCAGATTGGGTGATCTGAGTGGTCCTAGCCTTCAGATGCACCCAGCCCCACAAAGCAGGAAGCTCTGCATTCTGTGACTTAAATCCTAACTCCAGATTTCAATTGGACAAGCCGAAACCTTGAATCCTACAGCTGAAACCATCCTGCAATTAATTTGCAATTACCTGCTTTAGTAGCATAAGCATTTAAATAGACTGCTCTTTAAAAAAAAATATAAAGCTTTCAGTTGTCATGAGTTGTATATAAACTTGTAAGTGGCACCATTAGTTTGCATTCTTTTGCTCAAGGGCCTAATATTCCAGGGCAGAGAGAAGTTAACAGCACTCGTGATGTCTTTTTATGGTCTCTTTGCATACTCGGGACATCACAGAAAGGCAGTTATAAAATAGCATTGCAGAAATTGTCTTTTGAACTTTCCTGTGTGTGACTGCAGAGACAATTTGGAGACCTCAGAGACAAGTTTATCTTGTCACTGCACTTACACGCGTTGCTTCTTGCTAACCTTCCGTGGTCACCTATAATACGTTTAGTATTTGAGAATTCGGAATTCCAGACTTAGGATTTTGTTTTAGCTTCACTCTACAGTTTCTCTTCACCCTCCAGCTTGTCTGTCCCCTACCCCATGGAAGCATTCACCACTTACCTGGGATTGAAGGAGTTCGTGAGCATAACACACCAATGTTGTTAGGATTCTGAGATAGGCAAGAATCACCGCCAGGAGGGAGGGTAAACAGAACCTGAACTCAGGGCCGGAGGGGGCCATCTCTGGAACTTGTCTGCCGGTCCTGGATGCTCACAGTAGCTCCTTCTCCACCTGCTCTGTGGGATGCAGGGAAGCTGTGCCTGGGGAAGAATCTTCCCCTGCCGTGTTTTTCCCTTATCATCCGTGTGGCTGGTGGTGTACAATGTGTGCATCGGAGCTGGCTGAGATGTGTGCAGGGTGTCTATGTGGCTGGTGTGTGTACAGCGTGTGCCTGTGTGACTGGTGCGTGTGTGGCACAGGCGCCTGTGCTGAGACTCACCTGGGCTTTCGTGGAGACAGTCCTGATCCGTCAGTGGAGGCTGAGGTAGCTTTCATGTCATACCTAGGTGTCCGGAGCTGTCAGGTTCATCTCCCTCACAGCTCCCAGTAGTACAAGAGTTGAATTATACAGTTCAACCTGGGTCCTCGCTCAGTCTGTGTGCACATGGTCGTGTGTAAGACATTCAGGTTTTTAATTTAATTTAATTTAATTTTGCAGGACTGGGGATTGAACCCAGAGCCTCACACTTGTGAGGCAAGCACTGTACCACTTTGAGCAATGTCCCTGACCTTTTTTTTTTTTTTTTTTTAATCCTAGTGGGA